GGGCAGCTCCAGGCAGTGCCACCACCCTCAGGTGTCACCAGTGTCCACCTCCAGCCCACAGAGGTGACAGGTGTGCATCTCCAGGTGTTGCCAGCACCACCTGAGGTAACCGATGTCCAGCTCCAACCACTGCCACCAGCCTCTGAGATGATAAAAATCCAACTCCAGGTGTTGCCACCACCACCTGAGGTGACAGGTCTGCAGCTTCAGACCACACATGTCCCCAGTGCCCACCTGGAGGCCACCAAGGTCCCCAGTGCTCACCTGGAGGCCATTGCAGAAGTGCCCAACATCCACCTGGAGACCTCAGAGGTGACAAATGTCCACCTGGAGACCCTTGAGGAGGTCCCCAGTGCCCACACGGACCCCACAGAGGTGACAAATGTCCACCTGGAGACCCTTGAGGAGGTGCCCAGTGCCCACATGGACCCCATTGAGGAGGTGCTCAGTGCCCACATGGACCCCATTGAGGAGGTGCTCAGTGCCCACTTGGAGACCTCTGAGGTGCCCAACGTCCACCTCAAGACCACCAAGGAGGTGCACAATGCCCACCTGGAGACATCAGAGGTGTCAAATGTCCACCTGGACACATCAGAGTTGGTGCCCAGTGCCCACCTGGAGACTTTGAAGGTGACGAATATCCACCTGGACAGGTAACCCCTAGGTACCACCTCACCCGATCAAGGAACACCTCACCTGGGCAGGTAACTCCCAGGTAACATGCTCTCTGCCCTGCAGATGCAGTGTCTTCACTTCCATGAAGAATCTTCTCCCCATCTTCTCCCTCCCTTCCTTCATTCCCTGTGCCAAGATCTCCTTGTTCCCAATTGAATTTGGTTCTTCACCTGCTCCTTGACAGTTGTCCATATCTCCTGGCATTGGGGGGTGATTATCCTCTCTTCTCTGCACTCAGGTGGTCTCACCTTGAGTCCTCTGGGCAGTTTTGGGCACCACAGGACAAGAAAGAGCTAAAGCTGTTGGAGATGATCCAAAGGAGGACACGGAGACGGTGAAGGGCCTTGAGGGGAAGCCGGAGGAGCAGCTGAAGGCACTTTGGTTATTCAGTTAGAGGACACTGAGGGGACATCTCATGGCTATATACAACTTATTTGTGAGTGGAGGTGGAAGGACAGCTCTGATCTCTGGTGACCTAGGCCTGAGGGAATGGCCTGGAGTTGTGTCAGGAGAGTTTTAGGTTGGACATAAGGAGAAGGTTCTTCCCCCAGAAGGTGGTTAAGACACCAGAACAGGTTTAAGTGGATATCAGGAGAAGATTCTTCCCCCAGAGGAAATTGGAACAGGTTTGGGTTGTACATTAGGAGTGGTTGGGCACTGGAACAGTGGTCGCTGCCCCAAGCCTGACAGAGCTCCAGGAGCATTTGGACAGTGCCCCAGGCATGTGGTGGGATTTGTGTGGGGTGACCTGTGTCAATGAGCCCTGTGGGTCCAACTCAGGACATTCCATGATTTCCCTCTCCTTCCTCACCCAAGACTCTCAGCTTGCTGCTCCACCACACATTCAGCTGCTGAAGCCTCAATGAGTTGTTTCCAGTTCAAGCAGAGTTTTACAGCTCCAAATCCCAAGAAATACATGGAAAACCAAGAAAAAGTCCCTGTTTGGACCCCTGAGATGTTGTCTTGACCTTGACCTACTCCATAGACCCTGACTCCTGAGTCTATGTTGCTTCCAAGTTCTAAAAGTAAAACAATTCCAAGCCCACATGGAAAATACGGATTTGCTGCTGAGAAATCCACATTCCTCCTTAAAACTGCATTCATCTCCTTTCTCCTGAAGTTGCCCTTCCTGCTGGGACAGTTGATGGACATCCAATCCTGGAAACAGCTGGACAAGCCTTGGCAATGCTGCTGGAGCTGTTTCTCTCACCTCAAAGTCTCTCTAAAGAAAACCATGGAAGGGAGAAAGTGACTTTCCAACTGGTGAAAGGTGAAATGCCCAGGGAGGTGGATCAGGATGTGATCAAAGGCCTCCTGGAAGTTCACCATGACTGTTCCATATGGTGTCTTCTAGCTGGAGAGGAACAGGTCCAAGGAAACTGGGTAAGGATGTGGATTTGGATCCTACAAGCTGAGAGGATCCAAACTTCAGTTCATTGCTCTGGTGCAGCACAGAATGCCCAGGTTGGGCCACCTGTTGGTGTAGGAACAGGTGGCATTCCATGGACAGGACCGGGAAAGCTCAGATTGAAAGGAATTTGGGACATCATTTCAGCCTATTGCTGTGCCTCCAGGCAGGAAGGGCTGGACAGAATTCATCCTTGACATAGGTATTTATGTTACAAAGAGAAATCAGAATATAAATATATTTATAGTACATTTTTTATATTATATT